TTCCAGATTTGAATAAGGTTTGTGTGTGCTCTTTTACTGTCATATGATGCTCACACACATCTTACGTAAGAGTAGGAGCGAGTAAAAAAAAAGATGGATGGACCACAAGCAACATGAATTACCAGTTTTGGAAATGTTGTTTTGAATTTATAGCACCAGTGTGTAAGACTATGTTGTAGTGTGTGTATTTTTGAGGGCTTGTGTGTGCTGTCTGAGGGCAAAGTTTGGTTTTTCAGCGAGAGTGAATGGTTTTGAGTGTAGAGCTTCATTTTGACCTGAAAATAGGATGTTTGGGGAATTGGGTGAGACGTTATGGATTTGTGTTTACTGTTTTGAGAATACGAGGGATAGTTTCAAGAAATGTGTTTAAGCAATCGAGAAAAACTGTAATATAATAAACACAGAAGCATAAACAAAATGAGGGGTGTCTGTTTTTGTGACTAACGTTTCTTTAGTATAGCAATAGAGTATAAAAACCAATATAAATTCTCGGTATAGCATTGGACTCTACGATCGGCGGAAGTAATCCAGCATCCTTAGACCTTCACCGGAAATACCGCCGTGCATAGAGCCCATTCCCCAAACATCCTATTTTCAGGTCAAAATGAAGCTCTACACTCAAAACCATTCACTCTCGCTGAAAAACCAAACTTTGCCCTCAGACAGCACACACAAGCCCTCAAAAATACACACACTACAACATAGTCTTACACACTGGTGCTATAAATTCAAAACAACATTTCCAAAATTTTTTTACTCGCTCCTACTCTTACGTAAGATGTGTGTGAGCATCATATGACAGTAAAAGAGCACACACAAACCTTATTCAAATCTGGAATTGTATTGGAATGGTAAAGAGTGTTGGTACATGCCTCCACTCAAGGATACAATATGATGAACAAGTCTAAGAATGTTCCACGTATGGTTGAAATACCATCATTGGCCTAGAAAGATAACACTCTGTGAGTTAAGACTATAAAGGAGAAAGGATGCCCTCCCTTCACTGTCACACTCTGCAGCCACTCTGTGTGACTGTACGACTGCTGGCCTTTTCTTGCAAGAACATAAACCTCATCAAAGACAATTGGAAATGTGTGTCTCTTATTCAGTGATAGAAATGTGTTTGCCACCACACCTCCCTGAAGGTTCTGATGATGGAGGCGACGGTGAAGCGACTCAAGTTTGTCTGTACTCGTTGCCCAGCCTCCCTCATAGTCACACCATGGACAAGGACATTGCCAACTAAAGTGGCTTGAATTTCATCCGAGACTGCTTGTCTTCTTGCCCTTCCTCCTCCTCCTCCTCCTCCTCCTCCTCCTCCTCCTCCTCCTCCTCCTCCTCCGCCTCTTCCTCTTCCTCATCCTCTTCCTCCTCCTATTCCTCTTCCTCCTCTCCCTCCTCCTCCTCCTCCTCCTCCTCCGCCTCTTCCTCTTCCTCATCCTCTTCCTCCTCCTATTCCTCTTCCTCCTCTCCCTCCTCCTCCTCCTCCTCCGCCTCTTCCTCTTCCTCATCCTCTTCCTCCTCCTATTCCTCTTCCTCTTCCTCCTCTTCCTCTCCCTCCTCGACCTATTGCTTAATTTCTCTGTGGATCCATTGTTCCAAAACTCAGTAAACTGATTTTTATCTTTTATAAAAGATTGTATAACCTTTTATCTATCTATTGAAGGATCTGACTGATGTGTGTTCAATTTTGACTCTTAGTGTTTTCACCTGGGTAATTGTGTGCTAACTGAGCTGAAGCTGTGCTGACTTGAGTGAACAATTTTGAATGCTAGTGCTTTCTAAATGACCACGTGGTGTAGGCAATGAGAAATGAAGAGTTTTGCTGTGACAGTTCAACAAATCTGACTAATGTGTCAAAACAGGGGAATAGTGTTCATAGTTCAGTGAAATGGGTGTGCTTTTTGATAAATGGCATTATGGTTTTGAAATTTTAGTTCAAAAGCCTGGTTATAGTGTTTAAGCAATCGAGAAAAACTGTAAATAAACATAACTATATATAAAATTACATCTAAACGTATTAAAGTTTCGTTTCAAAGACGAGAGGACAGTCAATTTTGAAGACTCTGCCATAATCCCGTTTTCCTCGGTTTTCCTCCGCTTTAAATCTCCCCAACCGGAAACGCAAGAGCATCCTTGCGTCAAACGCTGAAGTTATGCGTGCATATAGCCCATTGGGTGAGACGTTATGGATTTGTGTTTACTGTTTTGAGAATACGAGGCATAGTTTCAAGAAATCTGTTTAAGCAATCAAGAAAAACTGTAACTAAGAGATCTAGCGCTAAAATGTGTTGTTTTTTAAATCAAGCTGAGCGCTCGTTGCCACTGCTATCAGTTGCATGTTCTCTCTTGTGGCTCACGCAGTCTTCACTCAGACGCGCGCTTCAATCTATCGCCGTTGCGGAGACTCTTTAGTCATCCCAGTGAAATCACTAAATAAAATGCACACAAACGTGTCCCTACCTGATATAGACTGTAACCACTGATGAACAGAATTCAGTTTTGATGAGAAAAAAAACTATACAAGCGCGGATTAGAACCCGTAACCTCTGACATGCTTGGCAAAAGATCTACCACTAGATTATTTAAGAACTCAAACAAAAGTAGCGGATCGATGCATTTATTTAAGGGTTGAGCAGAGAGGCTGCACAGTTTGACCAGCGGGCAGCGGCCGCACACCAGGCCGCCGGATGGTGTTGCTAAGAACTTGCAATGTAGTATAACTGTTATCAGACCGGCCCTCGCGGCCTCGAAACACTACCGGCCCACCGGGAAAAATCCCGACTCTCCCGATTGCCACTCCGCCCCTGTTTACAAATGATAAGAGAACAGTTTTTATAGTCCCAAAAATGTATTTCTGTATTAAATACGGTAGTGAAAGACCGCCTCTTTATGACGAAGATCCGGTTAGGCCCCGCCCACTGGCGTCAGTGCGATGAGGAGGAGAGAAGAGCACAGGGTCTCATTTGCTTTTCCATGTAAAAATCTAACAATTATAAAATTAGATCCCTATATCTCTACTCCTCCTGTTATTTTTTATTGGAACAATCTCTTTAATTATGTAGCACAAATTGGACACAAGTTTGGTCGTTGCCCCAAAAATTCAGTCTTACAAATAAGGTTAAGGAAATCTCTACCAAAATAATTCATAGAGTCTATCCAACCAAACCATTTTTACAAAAATTTAAAAGGGAAATTGAAACAAAATGCTCTTTCTGTGAAAGTTCTACTGAAACTATTTCTCATATGTTTCGGTCCTGCGAAGATAAACAGTGTTTCTGGAAAGATGTTGAGAGGTTCATTGCTGATAATATTTATTAAGTTTACAGCCAATCATAAAACTTTTCTCTTATCCTATAAATATGTGATATTAGGTTATTGCATTAAGGGTCATTGCTCAAAGGATGCTGGTTTCATTATAAATTGTATTTTGTTTCTATGTGTTTTATATTCACAAATGTAAATTCACAAATGGCAAACCGAATTTTACAGTGTTTAAGGAGATTAAAATGCTGGGAATGTGGTTATTTATTTTTTCAACACTGTGAATGTCTCAGTCGAACATTATTTATTTGTATTCGATGCATTCACTGGATTCTTTGGTAAATCAGTCGCAAACTCGGTGCAGACAGACTTTTCAGGCTTTTACGATGTGGACTCGACAGTAACGCCACAACATGTGAGTAACCCTGTTCATTCTAATGCCTGAAAACTCTCGTTAGAATCAACTAATCTCTTATTTATATCAATATATGTTTGCACTGTTAGGTTTGATGAAAGCATTTGTTTAGTGTGCAGGAATTGAGTTGCAATGACGAGATCGCTGCATTAATGCGCTCAACATGTCTGTGATCGGCTTCATGCTCATCACTGCAACCTTTAATGCCACGATCTAAATATAATGCCAGAGATCTCATTGTAATGCTATAGTTAACACTTTCAGACTGATCTCATGAAATGGCGTATGTATGACACGCCAATTCGTATTTCCATTTTTGGCGTGCTATCAACACGCATAATCGCTTTTCAGCGTGTTTATCAACGCCGTTTACTTAACGTTACATTACTGTATAAATATATGACCTACCCCGACCCGAGGATAGCTCAAAATGCGTATAGATAACACGCCACTTGACTTGAAAGTGGCGTGTATGTTTACGCAAAGTCATGATTTCATGTTGTCACTTTTCATGAGTAGTTAACATTGAGAGTGAAAACACACAACAACACTGTTTACACTGAAGACTCACAGCCAATCACAGCAGTGGGCGTTTACACTGAAGACTCACAGCCAATCACAGCAGTGGGCGTTTACACTGAAGACTCACAGCCAATCACAGCAGTGGGCGTTTACACTGAAGACTCACAACCAATCACAGCAGTGGGCGTTTACACTGAAGTCTCACAGCCAATCACAGCAGTGGGCGTTTACACTGAAGACTCACAACCAATCACAGCAGTGGGCGTTTACACTGATGTCTCACAGCCAATCACAGCAGTGGGCGTTTACACTGATGTCTCACAGCCAATCACAGCAGTGGGCGTTTACACTGAAGTCTCACAACCAATCACAGCAGTGGGCGTTTACTAAAAATCATACTAACATTATAAATCCACCCCAGGAAACATTATACAACAAAAAAACAATGCAGTTCATGACCACTTTAATGGATAAGCCTGAGATTGAGAAGTTTGCAAATTAATAACATAACTCAGAAAGCACATATTAATGAGGAAAACAACACTCTCTGACACGTGTGTGTGTGTGTGTGTGTGTTTCTCATGTTTCTTCCACAGTTGCAGACACTATTCTTCGCTACCGCTTTAAGACACTGAAGAAGAATCGCACACTGGGTTTCTACGGCATTGTACATGGGCATCATATCACCGCAGTGCGCTGTATAAGTATGCATTATTTACACTAGTATTTGACATTATTAAAAGCATTTATTAACAGTCTTAAACTAACTGACCTTTTCATTTCAGGCTCTGGTTCAGCAAGTGACTCTTCTCCTGTTCATAAGTCAAGAAGTCAGTTTCTCTTTTGAGTCAAAAGTCCACAAATGCTTGTTTTCTCTATCAGTGATTTTGTATTACAAACATGTATAATTCCATGTTTACAGCATTTATACATTTCAGACCTTTTATAGTTGACATTTTTTGGTTTCGTGGTTCATTTTGTGCCAATATAACTTGAAACTTAATTATGATGAGTGTAAAATACTTTTGATTATTGTGTTCGCTGTTCCTCATGTTTCTTTCACAGTTGAAAACACTAAACTTGACAATTATCTCCAGAATTGCACACTTTGTTTCCGCATTAAACATGCCAAAATCTGCTGTGGAACTATATGCATTATTTACACAAGTATTGAATATTATTTAAAGCATTTATTTATAGTCTTAAACTAACTGATCTTTTCTTTTCAGAATCACGTAGATGTCCAGAATGCTTGAAACCCCTTTTATTAAATGGGTCTTGCCAGTTAACAGGTCAGTTTCTCTTCTGAGTCAAAAGTCCACAAATGCTTGTTTTCTCTGTTAGTGGTTTTATATTACAAACTGTAACGAAGATCGTAGTTCAGGGAAGAAGGAGGCGGGAACCGGCAGACGTTCAAAACTTTAATAAAATAAAACAAATACAAAAAATCGCGGTCCTCGCGGACGACTGCTGGCTACACAAAACAAAAATGAAACACAACATAAACACAGGCCTGTCCTCTCTCGATCTTCACCGTCGCCGCTCCTCTGTGAGAGATGCGAGACCGGTGCGTCTCACAGGTGTAGTTCGTTATCTCTCACGCCGATCTCTCACGACCCTCGGCAAATAGGCCTAATCATAATCTTCTGCTCCACATCATCTCACAGTTTCAGGTCTATCTGAAGAGAAATATAAAAGATATATAATATTCAGGACTGAATCTATGGAAATATTAGTTCTTAACATGTAAATGCATTAAAGTCACACTGAATTCAGAGAGGAATCTTAAATCATGTTCCAGTAATAAACAGTGATAAAACACATAATCCATAAATATATTCATACTGAGGGTTGAAGTGTAATATTAATCTTTCTTTGTCAAAGTATATGATGGAGTTTGTGTTTTATATATTTTTATTTTGTGAGAATTGTTTCCCCTTCCTTGTGTTTTCAATTATTTAATTAAAGGTTCTGTAAATAATTTCAATATATCTTCCCCAAAAACTAGAGCGAACACAATAGAACATAAATAAATGTACATGTAACTAACTCTCAGTATTAGTACAATAATCGAGTTATAGTTTGTATATAATAATTTTATATAGTTGTAAAGTTATAGTCCGTTGAGGAGCATCACAATAAAGAGTCCATAGATATTAACCAGAGGGTTTATTAATAATCAATAACTGATAAACTGGACTATCAAAATAAAGTGTTTCCGAGAACTTTTATGCAATACAGTAAACAGAAAAGTAATTTCATGTGAAGCAAATTATTACTTTCTGATTTAAGATTAAGAAGACTAACATTGTGCTTCTTTATAATAACATGCACTGATGGCTCAATATCAACAAGAGGAACATTTACTATATTTTTCATATTTCCATGAGGTGTTTATTATAAACTAATATGTGTAACGAAATATTTTATTTTAAGAGGCCGACATTAGAAGAGAATAAAGTGAATTATATGGTAGTAAGTTTAAATGATATTATAGCCTACTTTAACTGATCAGCTCACAGTATGAATATATTTATGATGATTAGTTATAACAGAATTATTGGATCTGTTTATAGTTTATAGTCTTCAAACTGTTGTCACTGAAGACAAACGCTTGTTTTCTCTATAGCAGTGATTTTATATTAATAATTCTTCGGTGAATTGACCCTTCGCTAAGCCACGCCCGAAAACCGCCACTGGCCAATCGTGGCTTAGCAACCGTAACTAGGCGCGGAAGGTCTGTCAAGCTTTCGAGCGAGGCAAACATGCCGACGCGTTGTGCGTATGGATTGTGCAAATCTGATACCCGGTATTCTAAAAGTTTGGACGGTGGGGTGGCATTTTTTCTCTTCCCGAAACCTAAAAGCCAAAGGGGAGAAATCCCGGGCGTGGATCAAGCAGTGTGGAGACCCATTCACAACTAAATGTCGACAGGATTAACAAAAAAGAAAACGCGTATTGCTTGGAAATAATGGCGGTTCTTTGTTCATATTCATAATGCATATATTTGAACGTATCGAGCCTTCTGAGAGACGGAGAACCGAGCGAAAAGACTACAACCAAATGTAAACAGACCCCTTTCCGTTTCCGCTAGCGCAGTAATATCAACGAGCACTGAGACCTCCAGCAGACATCAATGCGATTTTAAAAAATGGCAAATAAAACACGACAGAAACTGTATTTCGCTACGCTACTTGTTTTGGAACATCAACGAACACCACTAACCACTCGGTGAGTTGCACAGTTTTGAAAACGAACGTTAAGGGTTGTTTAAGGACATGTTTGAGCATGCCGGTAGACGGACACTCTGAAGCGCTCAGAGGCGATTCTTAAATAGTCAAAAAGTCGAGACAGGACCCATCGTCAAAATTTTTAAGTCCACCATTCTAGTTCATCCAAAACAAACTACAAAATAGACTCAAAGTGTTAAATACCGGAATTATCCTTTAACTTTACCCCTGTAACTTTACCACAATCCGATCGCGGCTCTCCCGGTGTTAGATTGATGGATAAGCTGTTTGATTTAAATTGATTTGATATTAGATTATTTTCACATTTCACTTACTCTGCTGTGCATGAACATAGCTGTTCAATTTGTGTGTTTCCCATGTGAATGGTCTGCTAAGGAGGCGGCTGCTGCTTGCGCTGGGACCTAACGTTATAGGCTTTAGCTTCAATTTTGATGAAATTATTCTCTAATCGGTTGCATATTATGTCGTGGATATATCCCTCGAATGCATACTGCTGTCCCTTTTGTCTTGCTCTCTCAGATATTTCACTTGTTCGCCAAAAATGACTAAATATCTCCTTGGGAATGTCTGACACCGGTGCATTCACACTGTAATAGACGTGGCAGCCGCGAAAGCTTGACAGGCGTAGCAACAGTAACTATGGAGGGCGGGGCTTAGCGAAGGGTGAATTCTGCTCTTAAACTGAAAGTATTATTTTATGTCATTATTTATATCTGTTACACATTTAAACCCCACAGAGGAACAGCAGTCGAGTGTCACACAAAAAATTGCTGTAAAAATACAGCCAATTTCCAACAGTAAAATACTGTTATTTCAATAAACAGTTTAATCCTGTAAATTTACAGTCTATGTTCCATCAATTAATTACTTGAGGTAAATGAACAGCATTTATGTGTAAACCCGTTTGTTCCTGGAAAAAACAGTCATGGACTGTAAAAAATAGCACGTGGGGGCGGGGCATCTTCAACGCGTCTATTTTCGAACAGAAAGCAGTCAAAGACCAAAAGTGTTTCGCAACACTCCTCTAGGCTGTCTTAAAGGGATAGTTCACCCAAAAATGTAAACTCTGTCAGTAATGACTCTCCCTCATGTTGTTCAACCCCGTAAGACTTTCGTTCATCTTCGGAACACAAATTAAGATATTTTTGATTAAATCTGAGAGCTGGATCACTCCTCTATAGGCTTCTAAGGGATTGAAACTTGTTCCCTGAAAAGTTATTAAAGACATCGTTAAAATAGTCCGAGTGACTACAGTGGCTCAACCTTAAGTTTATCAAGCGACGAGAATACTTTTTGTGCGCACAAACAAACAAAAATAACGACTTTATTTCAACTATTGATTTCCTTCTCTGTGGGCCTCGAGTGAGTTCACTAGTGTAAAAGCGCAGCGCTTCTGTGTTGTACGTCACACGCATCACCCACATGACCAGTGTCAGCCAATAGTGAGCCTACGTGTGACGTAGCTCTATGCTATCACACTACGCTAACTGACTAGAGGCCAACAGAGAAGGAAATAAATAGTTGAAATAAAGTCGTTATTTTTGTTTTTTTGTGCGCTTTAAAGAAGGACACTGTTCAAGGTAAGTTTATTTATTTACTGTTATTCTATTATATTACTCCCAACCTGTAAAACGTTCAAAGCAAAGGGAGATATTTGCTTTTAAAGAAAAGGACTACAACAAACGGCTGGTAGGGACAACACGACATTCCTCCCGGGTTAGTGACATCAGCAACCCTGAAATGTACATAAGCCCCGCCCCCGGGACACGCAGTCCATGTTGAGGAGAGGAAGAGTTGTTGTATAAGAGGACATTTGTGAGTCAGCTCAAACTTTAGCATCCTTCTTTTCACATGCAATAAAAAGTCACTTTGTGTGCATCTCACAACAGTTCCTATACAAGCGATTTATAGATTATCATGACAGAATATGCTAATTCAAGATGGTTAACTCCACATCAGCAACATAAATTCATCAACTAACCATTCAGAGCCGTCCTGTTGCATTCTACATGTTGTCACTTCTTCTTGAGTCTCTCCATCTTTGTCTGACTCTGTTTTAACATTAAAGGCAGAACAGTTTCTGTCATTTTAGTGTGTCTGCGTGAGGTAATCGCAACAAGAGCTCTTGAAACCCCGCCCTCTGAGGCAGCTCATTTGCATTTAAAGGGCCAGGCACAAAACGGTGCGTTTTTGCTAATCGTCAAAAAGTGACAACTTTAACATGCTATATAAAAATATCTGTGGAGTATTTTGTGCTAAAACTCACATACACACTCTGGGGACATCAGAGATTTATTTTACATCTTGTGAAAAGGGCATTTTACCACCCCTTTAATGTTATTTGCATAATATCATGCACATAAGATGGAGCATAATTACAAAACTACTCGAAATATCCAGATCCATTATAGTAATTAAAATTTAGTGGTCAATTTGTTTAGTTTCCATGCAAATAATGTAAAGCTGTTAAAATTCCCAAAGCATAATAAATATGTATATTTGTTTTCGATTTAGTGGTGCGAGGACCTGCGGCTTTTGTGAGATTCACATCTACACAGTATTAAGAAGTCAAAGAGGTTGTTTTTGAAAGACGAGGCAGAGACGGATATCTTGACTGCACTTTTCGGCGCGAAACACGTTTTTCAGACAGACAGTTCTCAACAGCTGAGGCATTTCACTATTCAATGTTCGCCGTGCTGTGACGTCGAATTTCTTTGCTTGGTTAAAGATTTCGAAATAATTATTTTCTTCTTTTTTTTCCTAGGAATCATTGACTTGATGTAAATGTTCCACATGTTTTACTGAGACAGTACACAGCCATAATATTTGGTGAGTTTCACGCCATAGGCTACTTGCAAACTTTGTGCACAAGCATGCAGTACATTTGTGCATTTGTTATTCGAGAAGTGACACAGAAGCAAGGAGGACGGACACTTCCACGAGCTTCACAATTCACTTAGGTCACGTCACCATGTCCCTGTTGAACACTCCTATGACAGTAGATCGGAAGTAATGATTTATGGTTCATTTAGTAGCCTATTTCATTTTTTTTGTTTTTCTTACACAAAAATAAAATGAGTGAAAAATATTAATATGTTTATTACAAACATCTATCGTTTGGCGTCAGAAGACATTGATTAGTGTCACGATCTATTATGAATTAATGTCACGATCATTGTGTTGTTGTTTTTTAAGTGTCAAAAGAATTAGTTAACTGAGATTAGTTAAGTACATAACATGATCATTTTAGTGTTAGCAGAGTATGTGATGACTAGTTTTTGCCATGTGCTTTATTTTACCACTAAGATTTTCTTGATTTTCTTTCCTCTCAGGCCAGATCTTTCAAAAGCAGAATTGGGAAGTTTTAGCAGTTTTTTGCCTCTATCAAGGATTTTTCATCCATTGGTTCTCAATGTTTTCCTCTCAGACCCAGACTTCCTCTCTGGCCTGGTTGCTGATGTGACATGTTGGCTGTTTTTTGTTTGTTCGGGTTTTTTTTGTGCCTCTTTGTAAGGTTTCTGTTTTTTCCTACTGGTTCCTCTCATTGAATTTCAAAATGTATTTTCTGTGACTTTTTTTCCTTAAATACTGTTAATGTATTGTTAAAACCTATTACCTGTTTTAAATAAATGGCAAACAATGCACTGTACCATAATCTATTTTTTCTTTATTTTTTCCATTGAGTAAAAAGTCTGTTTGGAATGTCTGTATAAAGTGTGATTTAGTTCAAATTTTATAAAATTCACTATTATATTCTCTTCTGGTTAGGCAAACGCACAGGGGGCGCCTGGCATGGGACTGACTTCCTGGGAAGGCAAAGCTTGAAAGCCTCATCCTCCTTCTTCTTATCGTCACACCGTTGTTGCATCAGTGCGACGGCGGGGCCGAAGAGAGCCCGGCCAGGCTCCACCGGCGCGCCCGCGATGCGCCGTTTCTCACTGTCAGGGAGTCCCGACAGGTTCAGCCAGAGCGCGCGCTCTCCGACCACGGAAAGTGCCATGGAGCGCCCGCAAGCTTGGACGGCCTGCCGAGCGTTGCGGAGGACGAGGTCGTTCACCGTGAGGATCTCCTTCCACAGGGCTTCAGAAGGATTTCCCTTTTCCAATTGTTGCCCTAACTCTTCGAGGATCTCCGCCTGGTAGGCGGAGAGGAGCGAAGAAACGTTAAGGGCCCTGACAGCCACGGCCGAGGATTTATAAGCTGCCTGGTGAACGGAGGCAGCAAAACGGTCCATCTTGTTGGGCAAGACCGGCTTAGGGGGGAGCGAGCAGCCCGCCCTGAGCGGGGTTAAGGTGCCTGGCGATGGAAGGTTCGACGGCGGGAGGTTCGCCCATACCGTGCGCCGCCATGTCCTTAACCTCGAGTCCCGTGAGACCGTGTTTGAAGTCGAGCGGGTCGCTCCAATAATTTCTCATGTGCTTCGCGCACGCCGGGAGGATGGGGAAGAGTTGTTTCCTCGGGCCGGGAGGGGGTCCCAGCACTTTCCCATCATAAATATCCCTCTCCTGGTCGGTGGCGCTCTGCGGTGCCGGCCATTCGATGTTGAGACGAGCGGCCGCTCGCTCACACACTTCCAGGAGGATGGCTTGAGGCAGAACCGCGTGGGCGGTAGCCTGGGGTACACCAGAGGGCGGGATGGCCTCCTCGTCCTCTGAAACCCCAAGAATGGCCGCATCCTCCTCTTCGCCAGAACCGGGCAGTTCGTGGACGAGAGCGAGGTTGTCCCCGAAGATGTCCTCCTCGGGGAAGGCGGGATTGGGCTGGTCAGCCCAGACGAGAGACGTTGCGCCCCGGGAGGCCCCCGGTAGCGCGACGTCATCACCGTGTCCCCCGTCCGAGTCAGAAGGGCTGAGCCCGGTGCACTGTGTCACTGCCACCTTGAGACGGCGTTTTAGCAGCTTCCTAGGCAGCATGAGGCAGAAACTGCAATTCTCCGGGTTCTCCAGGGCTTCCCGAGCGTGCTTAAGACCCAAACAGACCACGCAAAGCTGATGAAGATCCTTAGCTGCGATAAGGGCACCACACGCGGCCGGGCAGGCCCGTGATAGGCTATCCCCTGGAGAGGCTGCAGGCTTAGACAGTGACATTCCAGCGAAGAAAACGGAGAAATCCATGGCGGGCAGCCGTGAGGAGAAACGGTGAAAATAGCGAGAGCGTGGGCGGCTCCGAATGCAAAGCAGCAATAGTTGAAAAATAAACAACTGTCACGTCCGGCGGAGGCTGATCTGGTCGATATGTCCTCCTGAAGACACGAGGTGAGCAGTGTAAAAAATCAACCGAGCTGTGAGATGCAGAGATCGCGAGAAGCGAATGTCAACTGAGGAATAGCAGCGCGCCCAGATGTTATATGCCCGTAGGTGAGGGGGTGTGGCCTCACCTGGCATTGGCTGCGCGCTTCTGTCTGTCTAGCCAGACTTGGTGCAATTGGATGCTTCTGCAGAGGTCAGGTACGGATGCCCTTCCCATAGGTAGATCTCGAACACGAGATGATGAAAGAGAACCAATGGGTTTTCTGTGCGTAGCATATGCACGCAAAAAACATTTTTGGCGTATAAATGGCACGAGAAATTACATTCGTTGTATAGATTCGCACTTTCATGAGATTGTGTTGGGTTCTGAACTACAATAATCAACATTATTCACTGAGTTTCAGCTGAGGCTGATTCATGTCAAGTAATAAATTTCCCATAGACTGGGATCTGGGAATCACTTTATCTTCATCATCTTCATCTTCAGGTGGAGGATGCGTTCGTTTGAGAGATAGTCTTTGTTTGCAAGAAAGTATGAAAGATCTGAGAGATGGATTGAAAGGAAGAAATCCTGTGGAGATTGGTTCTGTAAGAGCTGATGTGGAGAAGAACAACAGAACATCCGTCAGAAACTGAACAATCGTGTCATGAATCTGTCAATCTGATCCTTTAACTTTAATTGTATGAAGGATCAATAATTCCACATGTTTTACACTTATCATCATAAAGTTCACATGTATATTATGTGGAGGATATGTGGGATAATTGTTCATTTCTGTGCATTGTTATATAGACACAAACTGTGAAATTTCATCACAAACAAAACTTGTGCACTTTTCCACTGTTAATGCTCATAAGAAGAGAAGTGTCAATCATACAGCATCATAGAGAGTGTGTTATTACACTATATGTGTTCATCAGTCAGAGAAACTCAATAATAACACAATTATGAAGAATAAAACAACAGTAAAAATGCAAACAAACCGATGTTTTGAACAACATTCTGTAAATCATGTACAGTAAAACACATAATGATAACGCCTGATTTTAAAAAGTTGCCATAAAAACTATATATGAAAGTAATATTTCTGAATATTTTTAGAACTTTTTTTATGTGAAGGTCAGCAAAACATGAAGAGAATATTCCATATTATTATTCAAACATTATGTAAAAATTACTTTTGAATGTTCTGAAACAAGTAGCAACATTTTACAAACATTAGATGAACATCCAACATCCATGATGTATAAATAATGTTTTTGTGTTAATGTTTTCAGAACATTATTAAAGACCAGAAAACTTTGAATGAACGTTATATTAAAGTTACTGTAAGAACGTTTGTTCATAATCTCTTATTATAAAATACTGGTTAAAACTGTGATCATCACTGTAAAAAATTCACCCGTATATTTACAGTAAAGTACAGCTGTGGTTCCAGCCATTTACTGTAATTCTACAGTTTTTAATTTTACAGTTGTGCTTTAATTTCACAAAGTACTGGCAGCAATGGTTCCAGCTATAATTCTACAGTATAAAAAAGTTAGAATATAAATACTTTTTTCTATTTACTCTATTGTCTGATATCTATTAACATCCCCATATGTAGCATTATGTATACTGATCAGACCACAATATGAATATACACTCATCTAAAGGATTATTAGGAACACCTGTTCAATTTCAGCTACATGGCAGTTGCTTCAATGCATTTAGGGGTGTGGTCCTGGTCAAGACAATCTCCTGAACTCCAAACTGGATGTCAGAATGGGAAAGAAAGGGGATTTAAGCAATTTTGAGCGTGGCATGGTTGTTGGTGCCAGACGGGCCGGTCTGAGTATTTCACAATCTGCTCAGTTACTGGGATTTTCACGCACAACCATTTCTAGGGTTTACAAAGAATGGTGTGAAAAGGGAAAAACGGCAGTCCTGTGGGCGAAAATGCCTTGTTGATGCTAGAGGTCAGAGGAGAATGGGCCGACTGATTCAAGCTGATAGAAGAGCAACTTTGACTGAAATAACCACTCGTTACAACCGAGGTATGCAGCAAAGCATTTGTGAAGCCACAACACGCACAACCTTGAGGCGGATGGGCTACAACAGCAGAAGACCCCACCGGGTACCACTCATCTCCACTACAAATAGGAAAAAGAGGCTACAATTTGCAAGAGCTCACCAAAATTGGACAGTTGAAGACTGGAAAAATGTTGCCTGGTCTGATGAGTCTCGATTTCTGTTGAGACATTCAGATGGTAGAGTCAGAATTTGGCGTAAACAGAATGAGAACATGGATCCATCATGCCTTGTTACCACTGTGCAGGCTGGTGGTGGTGGTGTAATGGTGTGGGGGATGTTTTCTTGGCACACTTTAGGCCCCATAGTGCCAATTGGGCATCGTTTAAATGCCACGGCCTACCTGAGCATTGTTTCTGACCATGTCCATCCCTTTATGGCCACCATGTACCCATCCTCTGATGGCTACTTCCAGCAGGATAATGCACCATGTCACAAAGCTCGAATACTTTCAAATTGGTTTCTTGAACATGACAATGAGTTCACTGTACTAAAATGGCCCCCACAGT